GATTATTAAAGGGACGATAACATTAACGACACACGAAAGCCCTTCAACCCATGAACGTAGTTGCTCTGAGAGCACGGGATTAACGTCATCGGAAGTTTATTGGTGTTGGTTCGAGATTTAAGTCTTGAGCATGAAAGGAGGTGCACAAGTGCCTTCAGCACTTCCGGATATAGGACTTTGGAAGGCAACCTCCCTTTAACCGTCGTCCGGTGCCGCGCCTCGTTTGCTTCAACTCCCCGGGCTCGTGCCGCAGAGATCAAGGCGATGGAGAGCCTGAGTGACGAGCTTCACCATGCTTCAATCATCGCATACAGCTCCTTCCAAGGAGCTGAGGAAACAACAACTTGCCCTATATATATGGGCTGAAGCGTCCATCGAAAAAACGAGTTGCAACCCCTTTGTGACGACAGCAACACTACAACCCTAACACAACAGCCATGACAAGCACCGTGGCAGGCAAATCCACCGAAGGCGAGCTCGACCGTGCCTGACGGTCACACTCTTACCCCCACTGCTTTCGGGAGGGAAGGTGCTATATTGTATTCATGCAGGCATCACAAAGACATCGTGCTGCAAATGATGCTCGGGAAACGGTGCTGCTGACAATACGAAGAATGAGCACCACCACCACCATCATCATCATCAACTTTATCTGCACCGTCATCACGATTCTGATGATGGTTGGGATGACAGCGGCATTCATCGTGAATACTCCTTCGATTGTTAACCCGCTCGACATCCCGGCAAGTCACGGCCAAGAGTGCGAGTCGAAAGCGCGTCCCGCTTCCTGGTACGGGGCAGTGATAAGGCACGCCCAATCGGGTTGAGCTAAGGCGCATTGCAGGGCTTGGGTACAATGTCGGTTGTTAAAGCTGCTTACATATACAGTCGAGACTGCGCAAAATAAACAGCCGTAGGAAGATTCGTCGCCATCATCAAAGCTGCCACAATCATCTCTGCCAAACTGCCTTCTATGAGCTTATGAACCAACATTGGCTTATTCTGTCGACAACATTCCCCATGTCGTAGTCGTCACCACCATCGCCACCGCCATCATTGCCAACACCATCGTCATCAGCACCATCATCAGACTCATACTCATATTCAATTTCGTCATCATCATCAGCATCATCACCTTCACCATCTTCGTATTCACATTCATATTCATGTTCATACTCATCTTCATACTAACCATCATCACATCCATACTGATATTCATATATGCATGCTCATATTCAAGATCATGGTGATCATCATCATACTGTTATTCATATTCATATTCAGCATCGTCACCATCATCATCATCATCATCATCATCATGACCATCGTCATCATCATCATCATCATCATCAGCATCATGATTATCCTCATGACCATCATCTTTTTTATATTCACGGTCACATTCAGCATCGTCATCATCTTCCGCCATCTTCATCATCATTCATCATGACCATCATCATAATCATTATCACCATCACCCTCATCCTCATCCTCCTCCTCATCATCCCCACCCTCATCCTCATCATCATGGCCATCATCACCAGTCGCCAATCACCAACCACAACGATCATCATCTTCACCATCATCACCATCAACAGCAACTTCATCACCACCACCGTTTATGCAACAGCATCACCGTGGACAGCAGCAGGAACAAGGGCAATCCGTACTGCAATATAGCTATGCCTCTCGTGATAACACTGCTGCCGCTGCTCCTGCTTCCACTTCTAGTAGTACTACTACCAGTACCAGTACCAATACTAGTACGAGTGCTAGCACCAGTAATGGTACTGGTACTTGTTGCTAAAACTTTCAGTAGTACTACTGCTACTGCTACTACGCGGACCACGACTACGACAACCACGACGACGGTTTCAGTTCGATTTCAACTCCGGCGACGACGACGACTTCGACTTCGATTTCTGCTACTGCTACTGCTTCTACTACGATGTATACGTAAACTACTTCTGTAGAGGGTGTATGATTGGGTGTCCGCGCGAACTCTTGAAGGCCGAAACTCTCTGCCCGAACCAATGGTGGTTGCCTCAGCCTGAAACTTAAGTCTCTTCTTGGGAGGTGCACTCGGCGAGGTGTACTACTGGCGGCATTCAGCCCTGAGCTCTCAAATCTCCTGACTTGGAACAACCATGAAAAGAAGCCGGCGAGGCCGTGATGATTAGGGCACTCGGGCGTAGCCCTGCGTCTTGAAGGAGAGAGAGGGTGGCGGCCTTGAGCAGATTCAAGGGCTGCTCTGAGGTCGCTTGTTTATTCATTGCTTGCGACCATTACTTCAGTTGCAGTTGTGGCAGCGTGGCAAATGTTGTTACTTTCGTTCTTGGCTTCGAGTTGGGGGTACTATTAGCCATCCACGCAAATTTTCGGGGTTCAGTAGATAAGAGTTGGTGAGCTTTGGGAGTATGAGTAAGATTCCTTCATGAGGATACCTCGCAAGGGTCTTTTAATACTACAGCAAGCTATTGATAGAACAGGTACCTCACATGGACCCTACTCCCAAGTAGCCCGAAATATGGTTAGGCTTCAGGGTTCAGAGAGCTTGTTATCTGCTTCTCGTGGCACCCCTAACCTTCTGTTCTTGCGAGTTTATATAGGGCAAGCTGTTGGACAAAGGTGCGGAAAACCGCAGGGGTGAACACAGACTTTGGGTCTGGATTCTCGGTTTTCAATCTTGATGCGCAGTGGTACACAACGCAAGTTGAAGTGGCGAGCCGTTGAAGAGGAAAAAACAAGGGCGTGGGCACGTGTGGGGCGGGCATGACATGGGGGCCGGGAAGGGCTGGGACTGCTGATGTCTCCACTAATATGACATTCCTGTGATTGCTAGCAGTGTGTGCCAGCTATGTTTCAAGCTGACCTCGTTCACAAACTCAGCCTTCACAGGGTGAGACATTGGACAGTCAAGGCTTCGGGTTTGCTGCAAGCTCGACTGAGGTCCTAAACTGTAGACCCGGAATTGAGACGATTTCTGCTTGAAGGTCCGTGGTGATAGACTTCCAGTCCGGACTAAGTGTCGACCCGATACCCAATAGGATCAGCCCTTACATCTGATCAATCCTTTCATATTCAATTCCATGACTCTAAAAACTGACTAATGGAAGCACCTTTTAGTGATGGCTGCAACTGCAGCCACTATCAGCTCCACGGAAGACCCTCCCAAGGCCCAGTCTGAGCAGCGCGCCCACGGTCGACCATAGCGGGAGGCTTGCAGAAGAGCAATGAGGGCGATGGCCTCGGCTCATAAGAACTGATCAAGTAACCGACGTTGTTCCAGCCGCAGAGGATGTTCGAACTCACAACACTGAGATGTGCTTCAACTTTGTGGCCATGAAGACCGAGTCCGAAATTCGAACCCGTGCGCTCTGAGCCTACACTGCGATAGCTTGGCTCCAGGCATTGTCATTCACAGACGGCAGATCTGCCTTCTCGTGCAGCTGAAGTGCCCGATGCCACGCCCCGTCTGCGGTTTATCTTCATTTGTTTACTAGCTCTCTAAACTACCATCGTAAGGGCGCAACATGTTTAAGGTTGATGGTTTGAGAGTCTGTTTCAGTTTTGCGTGTTGGTTTATTCAATAAGAACCAGTTTCTTTGGGGGGCTGCCGGATCAAAAATAATAAAAAAAGATCAAAAAAACTTTAGGATCAACAAAAATAACAAAGAATCAATAAAAGATAAAAGGCGAACCCTGGCTGTCACGGCTGTAAAACTGCTGCTGCGCGCTACAATTGCCATCCTCCAAGTACTACTGCATCTCATGGCTCAAGGTGATCGATGCCTGCAATTGGTGTTTCTGGCTTTATTTTGTAAACAGTACGATGGGAGCGCAAAACATGCTACGTAGTCAGAACAGCCAGAACCGCCTGTCGCACGGATCTGCTGCAAACAGTAGAACACGGGGACGAAATATGCATCCCACCGCGACGACGACGACGACTACTGGTCCTGCGAAGAGTACCACTACTACCAGTACTACAACTACGAGCACGAGTAGCACTGCCACTACTACTGCTGTTGTTGCTGCTGCCGCCAGTACTACTACGACTACTCCTATTTTTGTCTTTGCTGACAGGATGATACCTGAAGCGTTCTTGCACAGCTTCGGGCGTTGGGGGCGAAGCAGCCCCC